CAATGAGATTGGCACAGGATAGAGCACGGTCTAGGGCTGTTGTACATAGGGTCTTTATGAGTCACAAACGACTCGACGGCACGTAACAACAACAACAACTAAAAAATAAAAACAAGGAAAGAGGCATCACACTTCCTGATCCCAAATCCTTCTTGACAGCCATAGTGGTCAAGATAGCAAGGTACAGTGACAAGCACGTAGATCAATGGAATAGGATAGAGAACCTAGAAATCAACTCATCTACCTCTATCACCTGATCTTTGACAAGGATAGGAAATCAAGTAAGTGGAGAAATGATAGCCTCTTTAACAAATGGTGCTGGCAAAATTGGAAAGCCATCTGTAGAAAACTGAAGCAAATTTCATACCATACACACTTAACCAATTCAAGGTAGACCAGGGAACTAAGAGTAAAACCAAAGATTATAAAGTTCATTACAGAAAAACTAGGAACAACTCTAGAAGCCCTAATCTACAGCATGGAAAAAAATACGGTAAGGAACTATATGGAAATACTGTTAAAAAATAATCTGAAGTTCCATGAAACATTGATGGACACTTCACACTGTACTTTATGCTTGTCTTCTTGGGAGGCAGACAATAGAGCATGGTGTGTACTGCTTTCATGGTTCCTCTTATACCACATCTTTAAAATCACTTTGTTTTCATTGTTCACACTAAAAACAGCACTTTTAACTGGAGAAGTGTTTCCATATAGATATGGTATAGAGTTAACAGTGTTAACTGTGACCTAACACTGTTAATAAAGATAAGGATGATTTTGACTTCTAATATTTTCATTTAAAATATAGGTAAGAAAAGAAGGTACTTACAGACTGAGTTTGGTTAGTACAATGTTTATAACTAAAACATGGGTCCAGTGGAGTAGCAGAAAGAAATCGCAATTTGGTATAACAAAAAGGAATGCTCTCCTGTTGACATCTGGGCACTAAGCAAAGGTGGGAAAGACAGACTTTGCTTCCAGGGACACAGTCTTGGCACTGGGTCATATTCATGGCATGCACTACACTTTACTGTGGCTATCAACAGCAGAGACAGAATTAAAGTCATTTGGGAACACAAAGAAGCAGTTGATGGAGCCTGAGAGAAAAAGAGAAAAGCACTAGAGAAGAGTATAAAAGGATGAGAAAACGGTTTAAAAGGGATATGTGATTGGGTATTTTTGTCATGACAGGAGTCCAGAGCAAAGGCCGCATAGTGGAGTGGACATTGGGGGAGGGATTGTAAAGCAATGAAAGAATTTTTCTTCTACTTTTCCAAGAGGGGAGTGTACTGGGGAGGAGGATTGGGAGGGGAGAAAACTGCAACCATGAATGAATGGAAATTCAAAGTCTCTGTAAATTTTCATGTAAATTAGTAATAATAATAAAAAAGGTTGCCTAGAAATTCACCAGCCACAACACGGGAAAGGAGTGTTGGAGGCAGAAAGGAAGGGACAACAAGTGATAATCTGTGTGCTGGGTGATTTCACTAGCACACAGGGGACCTAGGTCATGTGCTTCGAGAATGGCGGTGGCAAGCACAAGAGTATAAAATGCCCTCTGCTCAAGCAAACCATGGCAACTTAGTTCCGTAGATGTGGAGAAGTAATCAGACGACTACTTTAGAGACCTCATCCTCCGTTAGGGTGAGGTCCAGTGCTCAGGGTCAGGAGACGTGAAGGAGACAGCAGAAGCAGGGGAAGGCACATGCACTGGGAGTGTTGAGGGGTGGGACATAGGGAACATCTCTGTATTTTTCTTTCTTCTTTTAAAATCTTTTAGGTGGCCAAAGTGTTATGGTGGTACTACTTCTCAAAATTAATAGAGTTCCTGGACACCATTTTCTTTGTTTTGCGGAAAAAAACCAGTCAGATCACTTTCCTGCATGTGTATCACCATGCGTCTATGTTTAACATCTGGTGGTGTGTTCTGAACTGGATCCCCTGTGGACAAAGTAAGTGGCTTTGTGGCCTTTTCCGTCTTGTACTGATCACTGTGTGGAGACCATGAGTTAAAGGCGAGCCATGGCAGAGCCAGCAGTCAAGGGCCTGTTCACACATGGTTAGTTTCTAGTCTTTGGTACTGGCAAATGCTGAGTATCACCTTAAATTGAAAAACTTCTTTTCCTTTCCACATACCAAGTGTCAGAGGCAGAAAACCCCTGCCTCAACTGGAGCACTCTCTAACCTAATGCTGTTACAGGTGTTGCAGAGATGTTACCCATGTGACACCTTCCATGGGACCTCCCAGTCACCACCCATTGTAACATAGGTTAGGTCATTTCAACTTTTAGGCTCTCTGAAAATTTAAATCTGAAAAGGTAAGGGGGTTACATCTGTGATCCACCACAGTGTAGCTTGCAAACTTTCTAAAAGAACTCTGGTAAGAACTGCATTTTCTGTACCAACCTAATGTAGCAGAGCTGATGAAGAGAGCCCTGGTAGCTCAGTAGTAAGGAATTGTGCTGCCAATGCAAAGGTATTTGTTTCAAATCCACCACCTGTTTTGCGGGAAGAAGATAGGCAGTCTCCTCCCCTGCAGTTAACTACCTCTGAACACCCACTGGAGGGTCACTCGGAGTTGGTTACAACTTGAGAGCACACAACAACAGTGTACTGTTGGCCCAACATAGGACATAGCCCTTGCTTCCCAATGTTGGCAAATGTCATTCACCCACAGCAGTTACAGCAAAGTCTTTTCATGAGGAGGACTTAGAGAAGGGTGTTTCTGAAGCACAGATCAGCAAAGCAAGTATCTTAAAATTGGCTTTTAGATACCATTTCCTGACATTTCATTTGGTGGGCCAGTCACTGGAAGGTCCTCACTGAGCAGTCTTCCTCAGGGCCAACCTTCTGATGTCTTGCTGGGCCTTCTTTCTCTCTTATACTTTCTATAACCCCCTCTTCTCATTTCTAGGTCTCTTTTAGACAGAATTATTTTATTATGAAAAGTAAAAAGAATTTTTTAAAAAGAAAGGAACAGTAGCACTTTCTCTGTTCTTAGCACTGTTTACCTGAATACCGAAGGCTTTTTTTTTTCAATTAAAATGAATCCAAAAGGTTTTGCTAATTCCCCCTACTTTGTGATTAGCTGATAGTAATGATAGAATGGTGAAGCTTTTGTTTAGTTGATGCCCTGTCTGGAAAACTGTCCCCGTGTAATCCTACCTGGGGAGGTTTCACTGAATCTTAGAGAAAGGACACAATCATCAGTGAGAATATGTCCACGTGGCCTTTCTCATATGTAGCCTTTGTTGTGCTTGATCTGTTCATTTTCAACTACGACACACAGGGAGAATCTTATCTGGCAAAGAAGAGTGAACAATCTTGCTTTCTAGCTGATTGGTAATTCTCATACTGTACTTTTGTAGGTTTCTTTGGACCGACACTCAACAGTTTCATCCACATTCTCATGTACTCCTACTATGGGCTTTCTGTGTTTCCATCCATGCACAAGTTTCTTTGGTGGAAGAAGTATCTCACACAGGCGCAGCTGGTATGTTAACCTTTCTTTCGGTTCTCTTCCATGGGGAAACATCTAATATTCTCAAAGATGAGGAAAGGCAGCAGAAATCTGAGTCGTCTTAGCAGTGAGAACTTTTCTACGCATGAGGAGCTTGTTTTTCACCTCAGATGGCCTTTTAAGAATTAAACTGTGAACTGTTTAAAAGCAATATATGATTGGGTATTATGGTCATGACAAGAGTCCAGAATGAAGGCTGCATAGTGGAGTATACTCTCTCTGTGTGTGCGTGTGTGTGTTGGGGAGGATTGTATACCAATAAAAAAGTTTTTCTTTTACTTTAAAAAAAAAGAATTACATTTTGGATGTGAAATTATCCTTCAGAGATACAATTTGGTTATAATAACAGCCTTATCTTAAAACAGAGGGAATTCTGGTAGCCTAGTCCATCGGAAGCTGCAGTGCTAACCCAGAGGAGGCACCTCTCTGGCAGTTCGAATCCACCAGTGGGTCTGAAGGGGAAGATGGGCAGTCTCTTCCTGGGTTTTACAGCCTCCATATGCCCACTGGAGGGTCAGCTATGAGTTAGTTTCCAGCTCAACACAGTCAATTTGAGGGTTTTTATATTTTAAAATGGAGATAAATACCTTTTAAAATCTATTTTTGTTTACTTAAATCATTCTTATCAAAATTTTTACCATTGCTTTTTCACCATTAGAAATGGGAAAAATTCATGAAATGCCATGGAGTAAAATGTCTAAGTCCAATTAAAATGACAGAAAGTGATTAAAATTGAACAAACTGTAAAGAGCTGTTAACTGAGAGGCAGGCAGTCTGCAAATTGACAGTCACAGGTCAGGGGGAGTCCAAACCACAGGGGCCATGGAGGAGACAGTGCAGGGAGTTTTACAAGGAGATACATGAAATCGGAGTAAAAAGTCTGAGATCAGTTGACATGTAGAGAATGGTATGGTTACAAAATTGGATGAGGGTACATTTGGCTAGCAGGAAATGGTACACATTTTTAAATATTTTTTCTTAAAAAGTAACAAAGCAATAATTAAACTGGGTCTGTCTGGCCTCAAAAGAATCTGGAGACCCTTCTTGCATGACTGCAGGGAGGACACGCCACGCCAGAGTTTTGTCTCCAGTAAGCCTGTGTTCTGAGACTTGAGTTGGACCTGATTTTCCTGAACAAGGTGTATATTAACCACGCAGAATAAAATCACAGTGTTCTCTGAAATTGGTGACTAAACATTTCGTCAGGGTCCAGTGGACGGTTCTTCTAGGAGTCACAGGCATTCTTAATGTCGAAAGTTACTTTTGATTTAAAAATGGAATTTTGACCCCAAACCTTAGACATGTCGGGATCCCTAAATTAATTTAGGTTGCACTTTTATGATGCAGTTTTTGTGTGCCATCAAGTCACACTGCCCCATAGCTGACCTTTTCTCAGGTTTCCAGACCCAGTAAATCACAAGGGAGAAGATTGCCCATTCTTCTCTCACAGTGCAGCTTGTGGATTCGAACTGCAGCCTTTGGGATTGCAGCACAGCTTCTTCTACTAGGCATAATTTTAAGTAGGTTATCTAGTTAGAAAAATGGGCTGCCTTCAGTGTTACCACCTTTTTTCTCCCTTGCATAATTCAGAAAGTAATGGTGGCAGATTTCTAAGCAGTTGTTGTAGAGGCTGAGGGTGGCCGCATTGGCCGGCGGGCCCCACCGTGACGCTCTCCTCTCCCCTGTCGCAGGTACAGTTTCTGCTCACCATCACGCACACCCTGAGCGCCGTTGTCAGGCCCTGTGGCTTCCCCTTCGGTTGTCTCATCTTCCAGTCGTCCTACATGCTTACGCTAGTTATTCTCTTCTTGAATTTTTATTTTCAGGTAAGTGAAGGAAGGATAAGTATTTGCTGGTGAGATTACACAATACACTATGTATTTGTTTTGTTTTACTGATTAAAACTGATGGTGATTGTTAGGTGCTAAAGGCCTGCTGTTAGGTGATTTTATGTGTAACAGAATGAACACTGCCCCATCTTGCACCACCTTCTACTTAATTGATAAAGTACCTTTCAAATCTAAGGTGTGCCTGATACAGGCCGTGGTCTTTGCACTCACTTGGACAGGCACTAGGGATGATAGAAGGAGAGTTGATGCCTTTGAGCTGTGGTTCTAGAGAAGAGTATTGCATATACCATGGATTGCTAGGAAAGCAAACAGATTTGTCCTAGAGAGGGTGAAGCCAGGCTGCTCCTTGGAGGCAAGGATTCTGAGGTTTCGTCTGACATACTTTGGACATGTTGCAAAGAGGGACCAGTCCTTGGAGAGGAACGTCATGCTTGGGAGGGTGGAGGGACAGTGCAGGAGAGGAAGACACTCTATAAGATGGATTGATTCAGTGACTGGGTAATAGGAGTAGATGTGTCGCAGTCAGTGTGATTGGCACAGGATAGAGCAGGGTTTAGGGCTATTGTACGTAGGGTCACTATGAGTTGAAGGCAACTCGATGGCACATAACAGCAGCCACCTACCAAATTACAGGTGCATGAAGTATAAAGTGAAACTGCATTCCCTCCTCAAAGAATAATAGTTAATAGTTTAGTGAGAATTCTAAGAAACATTACTCAGTGCATGCATAAGGAGGACTTACAAATGTGTTACTATGTGAGACATACAGCTCTCAATTTACATTACACATTTACATCATGCAATCAAAGCCTCACACCTCAAGATTAAACTTTGTGTGAATGGAGGAAAAACTTTAGCTTAATGAATATTAAAAATCTGCTATTCCCATTGCAGCTACTGTGTGATGTTCTACTCTGATTTGGGGGGGGTGAAATTTGGACAAACCAGGATTGAAAGGTCACATTTTTTTCTTACTCAACAATTTAAATAAATTTAAAAATATAATCTTAAATCAACTCTGTTGTACAAGAACTACTGTACAATAACTCTGGCAGAGCACATGGCCCAGGTGGTTGTCAATTTTAAAGTACACTCCTTTTTAGGCAGAGAACTCTTAAGAGAGGAACAAAAATGAGAAAGTGCATTCATAGTCAAAACAGGACTACTAAATTGTATTTAGTTGTATTTCCTGCTTCAGACAAACAAGACATGCTTTCTTATTTTTTAGCTTGCATTTGCTGAAAGCGAACCCATGGTAGTTTTACCCAGAGTTGAACTGTGTGAACTTAGGTGCTGACAGCTTCTTATCTCCTATACTTCTGAAACTGGACTGGCCACGGTTTGGCCTTTTTTAAAAAAAAGAGAGAGAGATGAATGTTTCTTTTCAGAGAAATAGCCACTTATGGGAACAAACAGAGCCACGAAAATGAATGTTGAGGGAGTTATTTTGGTTTATAAATTTGCAGAGCAGCATGTTATCCTGCAGGATCGGCGATGCCACAAGCAGCCTTAACCCCAGGCTCCACATGAACCTCAGTCTTTTGTAAACTGACTGTATCATTTCAGTCTTGACGTTTGTTGACAGCCAAATAAATGAATGAAAACAGAGGAGGAAAATCAAGTAAAAAGGAGGCTTCCTCTTAGCCTCCAGAGTTTAAGATGTCAGGAAACCAAACCCATCCAGAGCCCCCATGTTAAAAATAATAAAACCCTCTCCAAAATGTGACTGTAAGGTTGATTCTGAGCAGTTACTCTCTAGGCATGGAGAGACCATTTCATTTGAAAAGGTAGTCGGCTCAAAGACGTGCCACACAGTGAGACTTAGAAAGAGAAAAAGGACTCTGTAAACTTTCATTAGAATAAAAAAGAAAAAAAAAGAAGATGAAAGAGAAGAGGGAGGTGTCAGCCATCAGCTAATCTTAACAGGCTTGACTGAATCCTGCCTTCCCCATGGAGAGATCAGACTGTGTCTTCTGGTTACTCCAGAAACAAAAACAAAATGTGCCATCAAGTCCTCTCCAATGCCCAGTGACCACCAGGTTTCTGAGGCTGTGAGCCTTCATGGGAAGAGACTGCCTATCCTCCTCCTCCAGAGCAGCTGGTGGATTTAATACTTAATTGGCAGCCCTGAGGTTCTGTACTGTATCGCCTGCTCTCCTTGCTGGGACGTCGGCCTTTCACCCACCTGCTTGCAGTGGTTTGAAAGCTGTTTTTCAAGCTGCCCAAGACAACGTCACATTGCTACGGAAATGTTTCTGGTAGGCTTTAGCAGTTTGGGTCCAACTTTTTACCGCTGATACGGATTTTATCGTTTTGTGGACAAGAAAACCATTAAAATCGAAGACATCTGTTATTAATTTTCCTACACCAAGTACGAGAGAGTTTAAAATAACAGTAACTTTTCACCAGAAGTTTTTCTTTTTGTTTCAAAAATTATTTCCTCACTAAACAACACAGAATAATTAAAATGCTAATTATATAATATACAACTTGGATCCCAAGTGGATAAGGTAAAAGTGGCATCCTTTCATTGAAGTGTGCATTTGTCTTGGGTTTTATCCTGGTTTTATTTCTTTTTTTTAAATGGTCACCGTGCTCTACAAAATCAGTCACCATTGATCTATGCCCATTACCATCCTGTCCTTTCAGGTCCCCCGTTGGATTCTTCCAAGTTCCGTCTCCACCTCTCTTCACCCACCAAACTCTGTCATCCCAGTAATTTCCTCCCCTCTCCTTCCCCTTTTAGACTCCTTTCCACATCTTACTAGTTATCCTTCCATCTCTACAGTAATGGTCTTAATGTAATATTTGTCCTGATGAGGCTGAGTTAGTTCACTCAGCATAATGCCCTCTGGACTCTCTCGTTATATGCTATTTTACAAAACCATTGTTCCTTAGAGCTACATAGTATTCCATTGTGTGAATGTACCATAATTTCTCAGTCCATTTGTTTATTGGGGCATGATGATGAAAATCCATTCATTTTCTTGCTATTGTGAATAACGCTGCTATGAACATTGGGCTACAAATCTCTGTTTGTATCTTGGTTTTATTTTCCTTGGGGTATATGCCCAGCATGCAGTATCTGGGTCATACGGGATCTCTTTATTCAGCTTTTTCAAGAGACGTCAAACTGCCTCTCAGGGTGTTTGTACCATTTTACAGTCCCACCAGCAGTGCATGAGAGTTCCAATGGTCATAATATAAATGAGCAGATATTCTCATGATAGGAACCAGCACTTAACAGAATCATGTGTTGTTTCAGACTATATACACTGTAAGCTGCAGCAATGAATTTTTACTAAAGATTCTTTTTTTTTTTCCTTCAAAACATACACATCCAACAGACGTACCGGAAAAAAACAGTGCAGAGAGCTGACGACGGCTTACCAGCACAAAAAGAAGTCATAAACGGTTTTTCCAGAGCCCACTTCCCAGTCACTAATGGAGTGACAAGCAAGAAAACCCAGTAAGAACAGAGAAACAGGAAAAGCATATGTAATACCCTAACAGATTCGCTTGTTCTAAAGCAAAGACTGAATTGAAAGTTTTATATGTTTTAGCATAAACTAATTTGAGTTTATAAATCATTTGTACCCAAAATGTATTAATATATTGCTATTAGGTTAACCTGTTCACTAAAACGCTTCAGTCAGCATTGACATGATCCTGACCTCCATAGACCTCATAACGGGTGCAACTCTTTCCTCGCCCTGTACTCGCCTCCACTCACAAAAGCTTTATTTACTGCGCCTTATATGCATTCAAAGCCAGTAACATGGAGCTTCCCAGCACCACAGCAAGTCTTCAAATAAAAAGTTCTGTTCAGCATAAAATGTTTAAACCAAGATGTTAATTATCTTATAAATACAGGGTATGTTCTGATGTACATGAAGCAATAATTGCCAGTACAAAATCAGTCCACCTGGTCCTTCAGCAGTCAGCCCCAGCACATATTAAAATCTTAAATAGAAGGCAGAAAACTGGTATCAAAACTCTCTCTTACTCCAGAAGTCTGTTAAATTCCCACAACCACTTCTGCTTCTAAAATTAGTGATAGGGTGGTGAAATTCTTACTTCTTAAAGATTAGGATTGTTTTCTAAAAAAAAGAAAACATCCTCCACCACATCCTCCTAAGTTGGGTGTGCTGGGTAGAAATAGTGCCTCGATTTTAATGTGGGTTCCTCAGTGAGTCAGCCATACATTTCAGCCTCCCTTGGGTGTCAGCCTGCTTGGTTAGTAGACAGCATCCCATGTGCTGTGTGTAGTATCCACATCTGCTGCCCATCTCCTTCCTTAATAAGGACTGGATTCTGGTGTGCCCAATTCCTAGGAATGTTTATGCAACTGGAATATTTAAAAATCAGAATTAACTGCAGTAGGGGCAAACCCAGCATTGAATGGTCAGTGATTTCTTGGGAACCTATGTATATTATCTCAAATACTTGTTAAAGCTATCTATGAGTTAGCTAGGTAATTTTAAAATAGGAAGGAAAAGGTAGAGGACTCCGGGGACATTTCCCCATGAAGCCGTGTGCTGGTAGCACACCAGGAGAAGGCCAGCGGGCACGGGCAGAGGCAGCGCGTTTCCCTGCTGGAGTGTGGCCATCTCCACTGAGAACCAGCACCGGAGCGGAAGCAGGTCAGCTGTATCCGGTCTCCCTGCAGTGCCAGGCCATTTGTTTCTGTTAAATGGTATTAAGAATAGAAACAACCTTTTTTTAAAGATTTGATGAAGATTAACTTACACTTTAAATGTAATGTGGAAGTGCCAGGAAGGCACATCCCAACTGAGCTGTCATTTTTATTTTTCTTGCCATCTCTTTCCCCTACCTGAACCGCTGTTTTAAAATTATTCTGATGCAAAAGACTAACTGATGTCTAACTTGGAATTCATAGAAAATTAACCCTTCTTGGGATGCGGGCTGACTTTCTGAATGGTGACTAACTCTGAGGGTAAATGAGCTATAATATTCCCTTCTCTTCAGTTCACCCAATTCTAATGGATAGACCTCTCCCTAATTTCAGCTTATACATGTGTATATTTTTATCTGAATGGTTTCCCAAAATTGACTTGCTCCGGGGTGCTTATTCCTTAATCACTGCTCCCATCTTCTGTCACTTTATACCTTGAGTCAATGGACTGTTCTCTTTGTTCTCTCTCAACAACTAATTTTCAAACAAGGGCTAGTTTCAACTATGGTCATCTTTGCACCTCAGTGACAGACCACAGACTGGATGACAGAGAAAGCCCCGCAGAGAACTTAGACCCTGGTTCTGTTTGAGGCTTCAAGCAAGAGCTAAAAATCTGTCACCAAAGTGCATCCCATATAAAAATCGGGGCTTGAGAGAGAGGAGACTAACATCACACACTGTATTTATATCATTCTTAATTGTCATGATCCCCCAAAGTCCCACTGCTCAACATCATACAAGCAATTTGAGGTGCTTTCATGTGCTTCCTGTTTACCAAGGTGGAAGATTGTCCTTCAGCACATGACAAAGTCAAGCAGCTGTAAGCCCAGGCAGCTTAAAACCTCTCAGATCACAGTGAAAAACTTGAGTAGTCTATTCCTTCAAGTTAATGCTAGAGGTTTAGTTAGAGGTCTCAAGGAGCTTATTTCCAATTTGGTCTGTAATTCTAGTGAAGCTTTATTAAGCACGTATGACTTGAAACCATTCAAGGGCTGATAAAAACACATTGACACAGCTTTGAAATCTTAGCCACAAAAAATGGAATCAGGTAAATATTTTATCCTGTCGTTAAATGTTAGAACTTGTAGGGGGAAAGTAAGTGCTTAAGGTAGTTTGCCTGAAATATAGAACTGTAAAAAAAAATTTACAAATCTGTATAATATGTTCAAAGGAAAATGGTGGAAAATATTTTTCCCAAATAAATTTCTTCTTATGGAAATGAAAACAAATTCTATAAGCATATTTATTAATAATTTGCCCAGTTTTTAAAAACTAACAAATTAGAATGGACTTCTTACTGAATCAAATAGAATGTTCAACCCATCAAAGAGGTATTTATTTTATTTAAAATGGCATTTACCATGATGGGCAGAAAAGCATTTAGTGTATAAAAAATTTTTCTAGTTCTTTTCACTGTTTCCATATCAGTTAATGAATGTTTCTGAAGGCTTCCTTATTGAGAAAATAAGGATGTCAGGGTTTTTGTTTCCCTTTGAGAATGTACTTGTGTTGTAAGAATAGTATCATGATTGGGATAGACAGGGAGGCAAGATACGCCTTTTTTTTCATGGATAAAAAGCATTCTGTATGATTGTTGTATAATAAATGGATTTTTATGCTAAAATAAAAAGCCTGTTTTGACTTTTCTTATTTAGTTCCAAGAGGTTAAAATGTATCTCTGTTTGAAATGACCTATCACTCAAGTTTTGTTGTTTGGGGTTTTTTTAAATAATAAAGAGATATTTTAGCAATTCTTTCTGGTTGCTCAATTATTCATTCATTTCATTCAGCAATGGGTATTTATGTAACATTTACTTTACATGGTATTCTGATAGTAAGTTAAACTATTTCAGAAAACTAGATAGTTTAACTTACTATCAGAATACCCGTGGCATCAGGATTGGTGGAAGAGCTATTAACAATCTGCGTTAAGCAGATGACAAAACCCTGCTTGCTGAAACTGAGGAGGACCTCATGCACTTGCTGCGGAGAGTCAAGGACTGCAGCCTTCAGTATGGACTGAGGCTCAATGTCA